ACGTGCCCATCCTACTTCAAGGGTAGCTTCTGTTGAGCATAACTGTGTATCACTCATGAATGACAGGCTTCCCTTCCATAGATAGGCTTTTATATATTGTTCTTATTCCACCATCTTTCTTTTTTATGTGTTTTTATTTGTTTTTCATAGATATACATGACAGTAGAATATATTTGGACATGTTATACATACATAGAATGTAACTCATGCTAATAGGATCTCATTTTTGTGGTTGTACATGATGTGGAGTTACACTGGCGTGTATTTATATATGAACGTAGGAAAGTTATGACCAGTTCATTCTACTGTCTTTCCTATTTCCATCCCTTCTCCCTTCCTTTCATTCCCCCTCACCACCATCTTTGTTGACCTCTATTGTTTCAGAGGCCCTCGTATGTATGTTTTTCTCCTGGGTATTCATTGAAGATCTATCCTGAAAAACTGGGTGGTATCTCAAGTTCATAGGAATAAATTAATTAAAACTGGGGGATGCTGAAATAATCTGGGCAGATGTTAGGTGTTTCTAATAATGTTTGCACTGTTAAGAAATCAGCCGGGTGCAGAAGCACATGCCTGTAATCCCAGCAGCTCTGGAGGCTGAGGCAGGAGGATCACAAGTCTGAGGCCAGACTGGGCAATTTGGTGAGACATTCTAATAATGTTTGCACTGTTAAGAAATCAGCTGGGTGCAGAAGCACATGCCTGTAATCCCAGCAGCTCCGGAGGCTGAGGCAGGAGGATCACAAGTCTGAGGCCAGACTGGGCAATTTGGTGAGACCCTTTCTCAAAATCAAAAGAGTTGGGAATGTAGCTCAGTGAGAAAGAGAACCCCTGGCTTCAATCCCCAGCATTGGGGAAAAATCAGAATCCATTAAGATGTAAAGCCCATTCCTCCACCACCTCCATCCATTTTTATTTCCCTGTGTTACTGTCCTATTAACACAGCAGAAAATAGCCTCTTTTTTTTTAAAGATGTTGATCAAATACAATTTTTATTTACTAAAATGTATTGGGTTTAAGATTTTAAAAATGAATGGTGAAACACAATACATGGATTTTACTTGAATTAAATACACTGCTACATTTAACAAATAAAATTGAATTGTGTGCATTATCCTTGAAAAGGATTGACTTCTGTTTTTCGTAAGTCATCATCTTCTGATAATTTGTCACAAAGACTTTCTCAGTTTTAGCATCAGCACTCAGTTTAAGTAGGAACTTCTCAAAATTCGCCTCTTAAAGGTTTCTTGGTAGCCTCACCGCCCTTTTTTTTCCTGAATTTGTCAAGCTTCTTGTCTGTTCTTTGATTTTAGGAGTTTTATTTGTGTTTTGCTTTCCTCTCCTAAAATTCTTTTAGTTCTTTGCAAATTGTCTTTTTACCTCCTTTACAATATCAGTATTTTGGAACAGGTGGTGGTTCTTGTGATAGTTCAGTGAGTTTAATCTTGATATGTTCAGGGACTTTGGAAGTGCCAACTAGCTCATGCATCATAAGACAATATAAAATCAGCGAACTCTTACCTCCAAAATTGAAGAATATGGCGAAACCCTGGCCCATAATGGGACTTTGTTATTGATCTCGAGTCTTCCTTGACTACGGACTTTGCATATGCTCTTGGATTCTTCAAAGTTTTCAGAGGTCTCGGTAGACAGCAGACTCTGTGACTCTGGGTCCAAGGTGAGCAGAACTTCATGGTGTGTGGAAGAGGAAAGCGGCTCAGAACATGGCAGTCTGGAAACAAAGAGGGCTAACTTGCATTTTTTTGAAATGTGAAAATATTTGATATGACCTAAGGGTGCATTTTTTTTTCATTTCCATGCTCAATTAGATTGTTAAAGATTTTTTAACATTAATATTTTTTAAATGGCCAAATGGAAGTTGAACTGTTCATGAGATTGTAATGACAAATCTATTTGTAGACCATAAACAAAAATATTACAGTAACATCTCAACTGCCTGGGATCCTGGGAGAATTAAGATAATTTCTAGAGAGTTGAGACTTACTTGCTTTTTAAAATCATTTTAATAGAAATATTATAGAAAGAAATGGCTTATTCTTCTTTCTTAATCACAATAGCTTTCTGAATATCATTTATCGCTTTTATCATTTAAAAGCAGTTGATGGTTTCCAGGCATTCTGAGGTCTCTGAAACTTACTGATCTCACCCTGAGTGATCACAACATCCTTTGGGTTTCCATTCCCAAATACAAGGCGTATCTTATGTGTACCCTTGCCCTGTCACTGAGCAGCACTGGACAAGCTCTTCATCACTCAGCATGTCCCTGTCTCAGATGGGTCTGAGGGTACCATCTCGATACCATCCTTGTCAAGGACTCAGCAAGGAAAACTCCTCAAAGGCAGATCCTGAATGAGGGTGCTGGTGGTCCTTGGGGTGACCGTGGTCTTCTAGGTTCTCTGCACAGTACTGAGAAGATGAGAATGCCAGAGACAGGTTCCAGGTAGACAGGCTGTACCAACAAGTGGGAGCTCACTGAGGGATCCTGGCAAGCTGGAATTGAGCACAGGTGTGGAATAGAGAGGACCACAGCCAGCAGGGAGGCAGTTCAGAAACTCTGTTCTCGCAAAGGCCCTGTGCATTAAAGATGGTCAAACAGTCACTGGAATACGTGGAGTATTTAGGGTCCAGTGTTGGATCTTGGGATTTCTAAAAAGCCAGCGCACTGCCACCCCATGCCTGCTTGTGTGCTGCTCATCTCTGCATGCAGTATAGCAAATAAGGAGGCTGTGGCAGGAGGATCGGGCTTGCGGGCCGTCCAGGTCACAGTGTCTGTGTGCCTGTCAGCCAGGCTCATGCTGGGCATAAGGGATTCCGAGGACTAAAAGCAGTAGGGTCCATGGCGCTCATGGAGCTTGCAGTCAAGGAAGCCACAAGCAAGGTTGCTGTTTAAAGCTGCAGGAGGCAGATCCTCAATGAGGGTATCTCCTTTGTAACTAGGAAGTAAGGAAAGGCCTGTAGAATATACCTAAGCAGAAACTGGCGATCAGTAGGACAGGAAACGGCAAGAGAAGTGGGAGGAACCGTGGCCTGAGAACAAGCACATTTGCTGAGGAAAACTTGGGGGGGGGGCATTCAACCTGCTGTGGTAGGGCGGTAGATCTCAGGATCCCAAAGCTTCTGTTCATGTGATGTTAGATATCAATATTGACCTTACTTTTCAACAAACCACAGAAAATTTTAATATATATTTAATAATATGAATTCATTTAAAAGAATAAGCTTACCACGTGTTAACAAGTTAATATTTTTATGAAGATGGACATATTTTCCAAAACAAAACAGCTTGAGTGAGAAGAGTGACATTGGTTTTCTATTTTTCAAGTGTCTGTTCTGTCTGGCTTGCTGGGAATGACTGGATTTTGCTGCCTGCCCCTGCATCCATTCTTGACTATATGTCACTTTGGTGGAGTGTAGGAAGACGTGGTTGGGAAGAGCAGAAGTGTTTTATTGGTCTTTTAAGAAAATATGGCATTTTCTTTGATATTATACTAAAACTTAATAAATGGGCAGTTTCTTAAAGGAAATCTGCAGTGTGGGACCTGAAATCGTGTCTGTACATTTATTGCACTAAAATCTAGTGACTTGCCTTGCACTTCAAATGCTTCTTTTGCCCTTGGATGCTGTTATAACACCATTCTTTATTGTCTTACTGTAAAGGTTAAGTGACAAAAAGTGTGTATTTATATATAAAAGTTTTAGCACAAGCTCTGGCTCAGGTAAGCACTCACTAAATAATTGTTATTGTTCTCATTGCTACTCCTATATTGCTGTCACTAACACCCCCGTCACCACGTGTGACGGGCCGACTCTAGCATAAGGAATGAAATGTGCTCAGGAGCACTAAGGTGCTTGCTGTTATTGGTTGTCTTACTAGTAGTTTGACAGTCTTCAGATTGATGCAAGTGTTTGTCAGTTAGCCAGAATGGACAGCCACCTTTGACCTGCCTGTGGAATTTCAGAACCAGCAGACACACATGAGCAAGCACCCCTGCCTCTGGTCCTCTGCTCACCTGCACCTGCTTTCTGCAGTGGTCACATGGATTAAAGATCCACACCCCTGACAGAGAGAGAGAGAGAGAATTTTTTTAATATTTATTTTTTAGTTTTCGTCAGACACAACATCTTTGTTTGTATGTGGTGCTGAGGATCGAACCCAGGCCGCACGCATGCCAGGCGAGCACGCTACCGCTTGAGCCACATCCCCAGCCCAGACAGGCTCACCCTTTACCTCTTGTTCTTCCCTCCTAGTCCAGTGCAGTGCCAGGCGTGTGATCACTGGCACTTAGAAAGTATTTGTTGAATAAATGCATTCAGAGGGAATTTATTTTGAACCTTACTTTCAACACAGTTTCAAAAAGTGAAAAACAGCTAGGCACAGTGGCACATATCTGAAATTCCAGCAACTGGGAGACTGAGACAGGAGGATTCAAGTTCAAGGCCAGCCTCAGCCATTTAGCAAGGCTCTAAGCAACTTAGTGAGATCCTGTCTCAAAAGGATGTGGCTTAATGGTTAAAAACTCCTGGTTTCAATCCTTAGTATCAAAAAATTTTTTTTTCTTAATTTTTAAAAATGTGAAAAAAATAGCTGGACATGGTGATGAATGCCTATAATTCCAGCAAGTCTGGAAGCTGAGGCAGGAGGGTCTAAAGTTTGAGGCCAGCCTCCACAACTTAGGGAGACCCTGTCTCAAAATTTAAGATTGTAAAAGGTGCGAGGATGCAGGTTAGTGGTAGATCACTCATGGATTCAATCCCCAGTACCGAAGAGAAAGAAAAATCCTACTTTATCATACAAAACCTGTGATCTGAGCAGTGACTAGCTGGTTGTTTAAGGAATGTTTAACCTCTATTCACCCCACCCTCTCTCCTTCTTGAACCTCTATTAATACAAAATAAGAAGAAACAAGCACTTAGGCATGTGTCGTAGTACCTTTGGGTTAGGCACTCGAGATCAATGTGCTTTGCCTTCTTCCTTTCAGATGTTCCTCCTGCGGATCAAGAGAAGCTTTTTACCCAGAAGTTACGTCAGTGTTGTGTCCTCTTCGACTTTGTTTCTGACCCACTGAGTGACCTCAAGTGGAAGGAAGTAAAACGAGCTGCTCTAAGTGAAATGGTAGAATATATCACCCACAATCGGAATGTGATCACAGAGCCCATTTACCCTGAAGTAGTCCATATGGTAAGTAACTGCAGCCTGACCAGTGCGTCCCAGCCCTGAGCTGCAGAAGGACCCTGATGTTTTCAGGACAGGCTGGGACATCTGAGCCCAACACAGCACTACCCAGAAAAAGCCTCCTCCTTTTCCAAGATTTGTGCTTGTCCCAGGAAGGATGAAAGTGTTCTTTGTGCTGCACGCCGGATTGTTGTGATGATAGCAGTGAGAGGGCCAGCTGCCTTCTAGCAGGTGTTTTGCATTATTAACTTGTTCAGTCTTCACAATTACCCTGTTGGGTAGAAATACTAGAACTTTTATTCATATTTATTATTTTATCCTCTTTAAATTTTTTGTTTTTAAAAAACATATGTGCTGGGAGCTGTGGTGGACGCCTGTAATCCCAGTGACTCAGGAAGCTGAGACATAAGGATAACAAATTCAAAACTAGCCTCTGCAACTTAGCAAGGCCCTGAGCAACTCAGCAAGACCCTGTCTCTTAAAGTATTGAAAAGGGCTAGGGATGTGATTCAGTAGTAAAGTGCCTAGATTCAATCCCTGGTACCAAATAAATAAATATATATATATATAATACTAATATACTAGAGCCCTTATGTTGTTTAGAAGTAAGCACACTGTCCCTCCATGTTCTAATGCTGCGACAGAGTTAAAGTGTTGATGGGAACCAAACAGATGTCAGCATGCTGTGTCCAAGCCTGTTGGCTGGGAAGGCCTTCGTCTGTTGGTCCTGAGATCAGGATAGTATCCCAAGTGACTGAGAGAGTCTTGTCCTGCAGCCAGGTCTCTTATGCAGACCTCCTCCCTGCCTATCTGCAGGTCAGTGGCGGCTCTTACTCCACTCATTGTTACCTCAGCCCTGAGCATTTCACAGGATGGTCACAGAACTGTTGTTTGAGGCTGAACTCCAGTTTTCTGTTGCATTTTTTTTTCATTGTTATTATTTTATCTGCCTTTGAAATTAGTCCCCCCAGTTATTGGTAAGTTAACATTGCTTAACATGGAATTTTAAATCCTAGTTTTCATTGAACTCTCTCTCTTAAGTTACTGATTTTTCCCACCAAAGCTATGTATTTCAGAGTGGACTAGACTTGTTGACCTAAAATACTTTTATTTCTTGCTTTAGTACTTTTGCTTTGGAAAAAGAAGATGAAAGGAATGTTCCTTTTTGTAATTGAGTCTTTTGTCAAAAGATGTGATCAGCTTGATTATTTTCAGTTACTTTTTCTGACCAGCACAGCTGTGCATGGCCAGCCTCAAGGCTACAGGGCTGTGTGGCCCCTCTGCCTGACTCCTGCTTGGAGACGAGTGACAGGTGTGTGCTGAGCAGAAAGTAAATGCTAAAATGTCCCTTGTGTGGACCAAGGAAATGGTGTGTCTTTTTCAACTCTCACTTTCTTTGGAAGGCTACCCCAGCCCCAGAATTGTACAGAAAAAAACTCTAATATTTTCTCCTACAACTTAACATAATTTTGTTCTTCACTTCACCTTCCTTTTTTTGTTTTTTGAGGTTCTAAGGACAAAAACTCAGGCCTCACATGAACTAAGCAGGCCTCTCCCCTGAGCCATCCCCAACCCCATGTCACGTTTTTAATACTTATGGGACTTCTTTTATAGTACAGGCTTCATTTTCTCATAGAATTGTTGAAAAGTCATTTGTCCTTGCCTCATACATTGAATATGCTATTTCCCCATTTGAAGTGCTTATTGTTAGTTGTCAAGTTATTTCCTTTTTAAATTAATTTCTTGGTACATATTAAGTTTATAGATACATAAACCACCTGTATGAAAGACTGATCCATTTTTAAGGATTTCTGTAACCAGGAGTCCCTGATGTGCCAGGAAGGAAGAGTCTGCAAAGACTGAAGGGACTCTGGTCTTCCTGGTTGGGTTCAGTACCTGTACTTGAACCAAGCATGCTCCTGACTGCCATTCCTCTGCTCCCCACTGTGATTGTTCCCAGCTAGAGTTCCTCCTGTATCTTCATTTGCCCTGCCCTGAGCATCAGCTAGCTCTTGGGTGCTGCAGCTGGCTCTCGGAAGCGCCTCTGCAGACCTGTCCTGAGCTCCCCTGGAGGAGTGGATTTCATTGCTCTTTGGGTGATGAAATAGAGTTGGGCACAGGTTTCTGCTCTCCCGAAGCTTTCGTTTTTCAGTGGAGTCAAGCATAAAATAAGCCAGCAGTGCTATACTGTATTAGATGATGGTACTTTGCAAGGAGAGTCACCCAGGCCAGGCGGGTGGGCTGCAGTGTGGAGGTGTGCCTTCTGCCCTCCGCCCACATGGGCAGGAAGAAGGTCCAGAGAGAAAATACCTAGAGGCCTGTTGCACTGTCCCCTGAAGAACTGTGCCATGCGGTTATCTTCTGGAATCACTGAGGGGCAGGGGACACTTCATTCTCCTTTCTGCTCTGATTCAGGGAGATAAGTTCAGAAGAGAACACAGCCTCTTCCCTGGCCCTAGTCCTCAGTTTGGGGATGGAATGGGAGCAGGGACGCGCTGGGCTCTCTGACCTGATGCTGCTCTTTCACATTGCAGACAGCGCTGATGAGATGTGGAATGGAAGAGAACATGGTGGGGGTGGGACTGTACTGTGTGACCCTCCATCACCAGAGGCCACAGAAGTCCGGCCCCCTCCCTCCCCAGGGCCTCCACCCGCAGGCAGAGTCCTCCTGGCCGGGGGGAAGCTGGACTCTGGCAGGGTCCTTTCTGCTGAGGAGCCCTGCAGCCCGCGGCTCTGCCTGCTGTGCTAGTCACCTAGGCAGCAGTCAGCCGGCTGGTCTGTGTCTCTGTGATGCTTGTGTATATTTTGGTCATAGTGTTTTTAGAGACGTTAATTTCCACTGACTTTGAAGAATTGGAAGCTCTGTAGATGTTGAACTCCTATCGCTGCCACTTTTAAATATATTGTCTGCTAGACTAGACTGCTATGTTGCTTTTTTAACACATTTATTGACATATTACTCACATACCTTAATTCACCTTAAAATATGTACTTCAGTGGCTTTTGGTTTGAATATAAGGCTGTACAGCCATCATCACATCTAATGTTAGGACATTTCTACCACCTACAGGAATTCTTGTCCTTACTGCTGTCACTCCTTTTCTCCCAGCCCCTGCCCTGAGCACCATGGTCTGCTTTCTGTCTCTATGGGTTGCCTACTCAGGACATTTCACGTGCCTGAAATTACCCAGTACAGGGTCTTTTATGACAGGTTCCTTTCACTTAGCTGGAGTTTGGCTCATCCGTGTGCTACCATTGTGGCAGGAGCTTATTTCTCTCTCTTTTTTTTTTTTTTAACGAAATAATTTTATTACCCTATAATATTCCCTTATTCAACACCATTACATCTTACTTATCACTCATCTGTTGGGTCACCTCGGGGTTGACTGCTGTGCATGATGATACTCTGGACGTTTCTGTGCAGGCTTTTGTGTGACAAACAAAAACCATCCATCTGTTTTTGTTTTTGTTTTAATTAAATTTTCTAGTTAGTTTGCTTCTTAAGCTGGACGTTTTTCTGATAGTCAAAATGTTGGTCAAAAAAACAAGTAACAGTATATTTAAGAAATTCAAAGCAATAAAAGTAAAACTGCTTTGATAATAATGTTTAAGGAGTTAAATTCTAGGGTTGGACCCTTTCAAAAATCTGAAAAATGGATCTATGTGCCAGTTTTTACCTATGATTTCAGAGCATTTTGGTTCCTTACAGCCTGCAGTAGATCCCAGATTCAGAGCTCTGGAACCTCTCTGTTCGAATCAGTGGATCAGAGGTTCCTGGCCTGTGGACCCTTGCAGAGGGTCTGTGGAGTCGAAATTATTTCCATAATAACGCTAAGACTTGTTTCACTTTATTGACATTTGCATCGATGGTCCAGAAGTGAGAGTAGGTACAGCTTCTGGCACCTCAGCAAGAAGCCAGGCAGTGGCACTAAGGTGACCTAGCATATTAACAGCCACATACTCAGTTTCACTTGATGGCCTGGCTAAAGCAGGCCGATATTAAATATATTACATCCTAGCATTTTAGTCCCCGTCTGCTGAGCTGTGGGGTTTGCGTAAGTACTGGGGCTACAAGGCTTAGTGGAGTTGGAAGGGTAGGGAGGCACCTGTGCCGTGGTGTCCTGAGTGGAACTGCCACATGTGCAGGGAACACCATTTTTGCCTGGAAAATGACTAATAGACAAATGAGTTATTCAGACTTAAATATTTAACAGGCATTTTCTCAAAACATAAACTAAATGAGAATGTCACTTGAAGGAAAATAACTGTGTTGTCAATGATAAAATTTGAGCTTTTAAGGGAACTTCGGGCTCCCTGGTGATGCAAATGAATGGGATTTTTTTAATAGATACCACGAAATGAGTCACCACTTAGAAAGTCTTTGTAACTCAGTGAACCAGTATTTTCCAGATGACCAATAAATGACATTATACAATCATTCATGGGCAAGAGAGCCATGGAGAGGGCAACGTCCATCACTGGGCTTGCATGTAGGAGAGAAGAGGCCCCCTCTTGAGATTCGCCATCCATGTAGCAGCACCCCTGTAACAAACCGCCACACTCCCCTTATGTAGTGTCAAAAACCCACAGTCATCTGGAAGTGCTACCACCTGCTCCTCCCTTCCCAGGTGTCCTGCCTATATTTCAGTCAGAACAGCCCTCTGAGCACAGGAGCTCGAGTAATGGTCCTGATCTCACGTTGACGAGATCGGCGGGAATGGAGAACACGCCACTCTCCTCACTACAGTCATTTGTGTTTTGGGAAAAATAGTTATTTCTCATAAATGTATATTCTGTATATTAAGACATAATAAAGCCGGCGCAGTGGCGCGCGTCTGTTATCCCAGTGGCTCAGGAGGCTGAGGCAGGAGAATTGCAAGTTCACAGCCAGCCTCAGCAAAAATGAGGTGCTGAGCAACTCAGTGAGACCCTGTCTCTAAATAAAATACAAAATAGGGCTGGGGATGAGGATCTGTGATCAAGTGCCCCTAAGTTGAAGCCTAGTA